GACTGTGACTCAGCCGGAGGGCTGAGGCACCAAAGACCTGCCTGACAAGTGCAGCGGATGACAGGGGCACTGTGAGCGGAGAAAAAAACTGCAGGCACAGACGCACTCAACCAGGGGGCTCTTGCATGAGGTGAGTCCAATCCATTACACAGTCCAACTTCAGTCTCTGGTCAAAAGTAAAGCTTTGCCATGACAAACATGATGACTGTGATGCAATATTAAAGAACTTCAGTAAAAACAAAAGGAATCATATATAGTTTAAAGACACACAAGTGAATCTTAAAATAAAATTCATGCTGCAGTTAAGCTTTCACAGAATTTATTTAGACTTAAAAAGGAGGTTATGTTTTCTTTTGGTATGGGCAAAATAGCTGTGGTGGCAGCACAACAAGAAGATGATCTATTGCTGTGCAGCTGGAGGTATGGCTGGCAGCGTCACAAGGAGACTGCCCACAGCCATTTGTCCATCATAGCATTCTTTCATCTGTTCCCAAGAAAGGAAATAGTCCCAGGAGCATGGGGACAAGACACTAAAACTAAGGAGGGCTGCAATTCTGCAAACAAACAATTTAAAGGAGGCGTCATGAGCACACATATTTCCAAGGGTTTCAAGCAGAGGTAGGATGGTAATCTTTAAGATATGCTATATCCATCAGACCTTAACTCAGAACTTCCCTTAGAGAAGAGAAAAACTGTTTATTGTTCTTATTTTGGATGATAACTCTGTTATCCATGTCATGAGCTGAAGAGATCTCTTGTCTATGATATTTATTGCCTTGTTCAGGACATTAAGTCCAAGAGCATTAAGCAACTTCGAAGAAACCAGCAGGCACATAACAAAAAGCTAGAAAATTGTAGACCCAACAGGTATTCTGACCTTAGAATCTTAGCTTATATTAGTTAATATTTATATATTTTCAATACTATCCCCAGAGGAACATTACTCCGAAGGTAGGAAGAACATCTCTTGCATAAGGTATTGACCCAAAATTTCCATTAGAAGAGGTATTCCGCAGTAACTATTTTCCCCCAGGAGCTAAAACAATTATTAAATATAATTAGGGAAGGAAGACGGGAGAGACTCTGAACTCCTCCACAAAAGCCACTGTTGGGTGAATAGCAGTGATTGCTCTCCACAATCTTACTTTGTTTTCAAGTCCTCTGGCTTGCACAGGCACACTGAACTTTTTTATCTGTCTCATAAGGGTGTAAAGAGTAATACTTGTATTTTCAGAGACTTTTTAAAGTTTTTAAAGTTTTGGGAGCTTCAAATAAAATCTGAAGCAAGTACCCCCTTCTTTGAGGAGGAGAGGCCTTAGGTGCTCATCTTCTATATTGAGCCCCAATATAGATAAGATCCCCAAGTCTATGCTTTCTGGACATATCAAATAAGGATGCATCTCATCAGCAAAAAGCCTTTATTATTTTTCCAGTGCTAGTTGAAGACTGGGGAAAGCCCACTTGTACACTAATACCACACCTGCTATCCCAGGCAGTAAAACCACCCTAGGAAATAGAGAGAGGCTGAGGTAGATCTTAGATAACATCCCTTTAATTCTTGGTTCTCTTCCCAGGAATCATGTTCCACTGATGCACTGCACTGCATATCTGGGCTTTCTTCAGCCTACTGTAAGAAAACCTCTACACCTAGTTGAGTTGTAAGAGTGGGATCCTACAGGGGCAACCTGTGTAATTCAAATTCCCTAAGCATAGACAGCAGAGGCAGAGAAATGAATGCAGACCTTACCCCTGCAATGGCAGGCTACAGCTTTCAATGGCACTACGAACATTTTCTCTGTTATCTTTTAACTGTTGGCCCATAACTGATCCAGGGAGAGGCTCCAAACAGAAATGACAAAGCTCAGCAGAGCTGCAGCTATTGCAATTGTCCTCCCACACTGCAGTGTGGGAAGCCAGTTTTAGAGATGCCAAAATCTCTGAAATCGGATAATGTAAAGAACAAAAGGGAATAAGTGATTGATACCACATTGGAAAAAAGAATACAGACAGTGGCTTCTAGTGAAAACATGGACAAGCACTTAACTGTACCATCACTAGAGGGTGCTGTTCCATTATAACAGTTGCATTCTTGTTCCCAAACCATGACGTTTTTACAGCCAAAAAAACATGCGTATGGGTAAAGTTACATGAAACCTAGAAGAACATGTATTAACAGCTCCTCCTTCCCCAACTACTAGTCCCATGACTTTTAATGAAACACCAAATAGTAGCTACAGAGGCTTTAATGATAAATGCAGCAACTCCAAATGATAATTCATGCCTGCCCAAGAGATGGAAAATAAGATTGGGAAATAATTAAATTTTCTTTTATGGAGTGTTATCAATTGTTTACTTACTAAACTGTTTTAATAATTTGATTAAAAGTGGTTTACTGGCTAAGGGTTGAGAATCATTCCTCTCCCGCTTAGGATTTTAACTTGCAAAAGGAAAGTGGAGGAGCAAATCTCAAGTTTCAACCAGCAAGCAAAGATTTTGGGGGGAGGAGGGGGAAGGGGAAACGAACAGAAAAGAGGGCCAACCAATAGTAATGATTAGACAAAGCCCACTGTCAGGTGACTTGTGTCACCCTAATGTCAGTCCTCCTTTAATCACTTTTACTGCAGCAGAAACGGAAATAGGTGAAGCTTAGTCCTGGGATAGAAAAGGTGATCACATTTATTCAAGCAAATAACTTATAAAAATATTGTGATAAATTGTTCCATGGTTTCCCATCTTAAAAAAAAAAAAAAAAAAGGAAAGGACCAATACATTGGCGAGAAGAATGGGAAATCCATTTAGGACATCATAGTGGACAGCGGTAAAAGGGAATTAGGTGATTATGAAGAGATCTTTAGTGTATGAATATCTTCTCTGTGGATTATTTAATTTACTATTACATTCAGTCCCATCATTCCAAGACATGGAATAATCTATTAATTTAATAAACCACAGTGAAAATCTTGTGGTTCTTAAAATAAAAACTATTATACTAGATGCCAGATTGCAAACCCGTTACTCACACTGGTAAGCAGTTACTCACAAGTAGTTCCACTGAAGTCAATGAATTTGTATAAGTAACTGCTCACTGATGTTAGTAAGGTGCTCACAATCTGTCTCTAAGTAAAAACAGGAAAGTCAGATGTGCTTAAGAGAGATGGATTTTTTAACTTGGATCATAGTCAGGAACCTCTGGTGTGAGTTGTGAAGGGGATATATCACATTTATGTCTTATAGTGATTTTCATACACCCTGATTTTCTAAATTATTTTGTGCATGTTGACAGTTACATTAGAAGTTTGTTTAAAAGACAGATATAAGGGATTCTTTTTTAGCTTTGCACAGGACCAAAGAACAACTTTTCAGTTTACAGTTCAGTCTTGCAGAAGCTTATGATATGCAAAATACTAGCAGTAATTTTTTAAAATGGTGGTATGCAGTCCAAGAGACAATAATTAGTTATTGACTTCAAGGATCCTGCTAGGATGCATCCTGTAATACAGGGGTGGCCAACCTGAGCCTGAAAAGGAGCCAGAATTTACCAATGAACATTGCCAAAGATCCACAGTAATATGTCAGCATCCCCTCATCCGCAACCCCCCTCCAGCCCCCAGTGCCTCCCGCCCACCGGCAGCCCCACCAATCAGCGTCTCCTCACCCCTCCTGCCCGCCACAATCAGCTGTAATGCGCAGGAGGCTCTAGTGGGGAGGGGGGCGGAGCGAGGACATGGGAGGCTCAGGAGAAGGGGCAGGGGCCTTGGGAGAAGGGGTGGAGCGGTGGCAGGACCTGAGGCAGAACAGGGGGTTGAGCAGTGAGCACCCCACAGCACACTGGAAAGTTAGCATCTGTAGCTCCAGCCTCAGAGGCAGCACCTATACAAGGAGCTGCATATTAACTTCCTAAGAACCACATGCGCTCCGGAGTCACAGGTTGGCCACCCTTACTATAATACATTCCACTTGCAAAGAACTCAGCCATTGCAGATAAGTTATGTCATTTTTAGTCAGTTATGGCACTGACAGTCAAAGCTGTCTCTTTACAGTTTAAAGAGAGACTGGTGATTGACTTAATTAGTCAATTTTTTTTTATTTTAAGATGATTATTATGGGCCAGATGCCACTATCTTTATGCACACTGAATAATATCTTACTTCACGAGCAGTCTGCTACCAATGGGACTACTTACAGAATAAGGTCCTACTCATTGTGAGAAAGGATATAAAAATTGGCTCTAAATATCTGTATTAATAAACCACCATAGTGGGAATTTCTCCACATCCCTTTTGGAGTTCTTAAGGTTCACATTTCTTCCACTCTACACCTATCCTTGAAGCCTTCCATGGCAGCAAAGTTATTTCTGTCAAAAGACTGGGCACAGGACTTAAAGTGGGGAACTCTGTAAAGATTTAAAACAGGTTACCTAACTCCCCTGTACCACTCTAGATACTATAGTGATAAGCACACCTATAAATGCTTAATTAGACAGTTTCTTCATCTGTAAAAGGGGGATAATAATACTTACTCATCTTTGTAAAGTATTTAGAGATACAGGCCTTGATTGTCAGATGTGCTAAGCGTTCACATCTCCAAATGAAATCAACAGGAGCTGCAAGTACTCAGAATCTCTGAAAATCAGGTCCCTACTGTAGAAAAGTGCAATATAAGTACTAGTATTATTATTTATATTTTGGAGCTCATCAACACTGCTTTCTTAAGAGTGAAATTTGCCCCTCTGCAGAGGACCAGCACAAGGTCTAAGTACTATGTTAAAGAATTTCCTTAGTTTTTCCCTCCAGTAGGAGACCCCAGACATGCCCAGTTATCTACATGGGGGTCGGGGGCAGACTTATATAGACTTATATATACGCTCACGTTTCTTAGTCCGTGTAAGGGGGAACCATGCCCTTTGCAGGCCTTCTTATGTCTCTTCTGATGGGGACTCAAAAGGAAAATTAAGCATTTCAGCTCACCCAAGAATAACTTCTTCCTGGGGCCAACAGTACCTTCTTAGTTCTGGGCTAAGATTGCAAGGAGTCCTTCCGGCTGGGTTGCTGAATCTGGCCCACTTTGTCAGGCTTTCCCTGGGAGTTTGCTGGGCTCCCCATAGGATCCTGGATGGAGACCTCCTAGATAGTAGTTCCCCCTGTGGCTTCAGGAGTTGCTCCAGCAGTTTCCTGGTCAGGGCGATCTCTCTCCCCTGATGACTACAGTTTCCTCCTTTTTAAAGGCCTGCTCCCTACAATACATAATTGACAGGGCCAGAGGGGCAGGGCTAGCCCTGCACATAGGGCGTCTCTGGCACTTTTGTCATCAGTGTGGGATCTATACACCCCATCACATTGTGTTTTGAGAATTTAAGTGGTTAGTAATAGTCTATAGGCTTTGCGTTGAACTTCTCTACATTCATGCCCAATTCTGATAAATCTAGAAATTCACTTGAACTTTTAATTAAAATTTGAAAAGTGACATGTCTGTCCACCACACCTGCAATGAGTGCTCTCATTGTCTGGGTAGGCTTCTGGCAGGATCATTAACATTTTATTACAAAGAACAAAAAAAAAAGACATGTTACCATGGCTGAGGAACTGAAAATCTATCTGCTCCAGTGGGAATATTCTATTGCAAACAAAAATGCTCAGACACTAGACATTTAACGCTTATTTTCAGAAAAGACTCTAATCTTTAGAAACAGAACATCCAAAGGACAGTACCACTATCACAGCTCGAGGAGGAGGTGCTTTCTAACAAATAACCACCAACAGCTGAATAAAAATGCAACTGCAGTCTCATTTTGGTCAAAACAAGAACCTCACAGCTTCTTCCTTACAGTCTTGCTCAAATAACTACATTCTAATGTGAAAAGAGATGCAATCAGGAACAGTTACTAAACCATACACCAGCAGGTCTCACTGTTGTCTCTGGAGCATTTGCTAATTGTCTATGGAAAGCTCACTGGTCACATGATGCCAGTTCTCCTCTTTGTTTCCATCTGCCAAATCCCATTAAAAGAAAACTAAAAATACAATACTTTACTAACATAAACAATTGCTGTAGCTGCAGCAGGGATGTTATGTGATCACAAATGGGAGGGGAAGTAGGTCCATGCAATCAGAAATGGGAGGAGAGATGTCCATGAAACAATCTCTCTATTAAGTTGTGAGCTACATGGTGAAAAAAAGTTTGGGAACCTCAGTTCTTTACATTAACCACCACGTATAAAAAGAAGCAGATGAATAGCACTTAACTGTACCATGAATAGGAAGCAGAGATGCATCTTTGGTAAAACATGAAGTTCCTTCACTTTACGAGCCAGTCACACTAAAGATGACTGTGTTATCATAAATCAATAAAAGCAAGACAACTAAAGGCCCTTTTTATGTTGACACTGTGCTCAGTACCTGAGTATCTCAAGCTCCGCCAGCCCCTTTATTGTCATGATCTTTTAGGTTGCTGAATAAAGCTGTCTTACCTTCTTCAAGGCTGATACTCAGCAACACTTTCAGATTGCTGGAGGTTGTTTTCTGACTGGGGTTACATTTTAAATCTTCACTGGGTCAGATTCTGATAATTATCATGCATGTAATTTTTCACAGGCTTGAATTAAGTTGGTGGTTTTATTTCAGCTGCTTATTAGTAGCAGCCCTTCAAGGTTCTAGTTGAAAGAAGAGTTTCCTCTGGAATATCAGACAGCAGTGTTTCACTGGTACTACTTACTCTGTTGTTTTGTACACATCAGAGTACAGCCCCGCCTTCTGGTATTTCTTCTTTGGGGGCCTAGGAGCCTTTTTCTCACGCTGGGTAAAAGTAGGCAAATGCTGCTCAGTGTTTTCAGATTCATGCGCCTTCCCAATGGCTTCTAGGTGACTAGGTGATTCAGCTGATGTCTCAGAAAAGCTGGAAGAAAATGTAAAGATGAACTTATTGCAACAGAATTGTTCTATATTGTACAAAGAAGCCCAACAAAGAAATCTCTGCAGATTGTTAAATGGCCAGATGTCTTTATCAGATTAAAACTTTTTTTTGCCAATTTTTGCATTTCGGACAGGATATTTTACAAGTAACAATTAACTTTGTATAAAAACAAGAAATCAACTTTATTGGAGTGTAAAGCACAACGTAACTTAAATATCTGTTTTATATATGTATAATCATAAACAGGTATCTAGCAGTCTGTGCACGTATATACAAGTAGGCACACATGCTCACACCATGTTACTAAATTTCTCCAGCCTATAGAGAGAAATATTTAAAACTTTAGAACTAATTTCATTTCAACGTAAGTTCGTTTTTGGTTCTGGAAACAGTAAGCTGTTCGTTGACAAACTGATGAAGTTATCCAGCACTCCTCCAGAATTTTAAGATGGTTATTTTCCTCATAATCATGAAGACCTAGGGTTTGATTCTCTCTCATTTACACTAGTATAAATCAGAAGTGACTCCACTAAAGTCAATGGGACAAACCAGTGTTGGTGAGTGTAACCGAGGGTATGTCAACTCTGCAAATGAAGGTGTGACTGCAGCGCAGGTAGGCATACCCATGCTAGCTTTAGTCTAGTTAGCGTGGGTAACATTAGCAGCGAAGACCAAACAGCACAGAACCCAGGGTGGGCCAGGAACTTGAATACGTACCCAGAGTCCCCACCAAAGCCTGCACCGCCATATCCATACTAACGTTACCTGCGCCAATTAGATTAAAGCTAGAGTGGATACACTTACCCGTGTTGCAAACACCCCTTCATTTGTGGTGTAGACGTACCCTGAGAGGATAATCAGATCCTTGGTTTCTAAACAGGGCTTGACGTAGTCTCTATGAAACGCCCTGATAATGGAATAATATTCAATTGTTATAAAATTTGGGTATTAAACATAGGCTATGTCTACACTGCGTACCGCTGGCATGTAGGGTATTTGCTGCTACATGCTGCAGTGAAAAGCAGGTTGCGCCCATGCTGCAATGTCTACCTACACACATCAGTGAAAGGCTTAGCAAGGTGGAGGCAGCAGGGAAAGGCTAGGGCAGCAGGAAGCTGCCGGAGCCTTTTGCACACTGCCTCCTTGCTCCCAGAGCCTTTCCTTGCTGCTGAAGCCTTTCCCTGTGGCAGAGAAAGACTCCAGCAGTGGTGAGGCAGCAGGACATGACATTGCTAAAAATAGCAGCATAGACAGGTGAGGCATTGCTTGGGTGTGTTACAGAGCTGTGTAGAGTACATACACACAGGGTTCCTATTTATACCTGGGCTAAAGGGCATGCAGTGTATGTACTCTGCTTGCCACCATGAGGAGTGTGCAATGTAGACATACTCAGAATGGTCTTACCCATTTCAGAGTTCTCTGTTTTGATGGGCCTGGTCTGCAACCCCATACAATATAGACAACTTTAAGCTTTGTTTCTAAAGCTATTGTGAAAGTAAGAATGACAGCTTGCTGCTGCATAGGTTGAATTATTAGCTAATGAATGTTTGAAGTGGATGCTGACCCAGTATGGCCATTCTTATGATGTTATTTTAAACAATGCAAAGGGAGTGAGGGATAGCTCAGTGGTTTGAGCTTTGGCCTGCTAAACCCAGGGTTGTGAGTTCAATCCTTGAGGGGGCCACTTAGGGATCTGGGGCAAAATCAGTACTTGGTCCTGCTAGTGAAGGCAGGGGGCTGGACTTGATGACCTTTCAGGGTCCCTTCCAGTTCTGAGATAGGTATAGCTCCATAAATTATATTAAAGTCTTGTTACCTTAAGAATCAAATAAGGGGCAACTTATGATCTGTGGTGTTATATACAAATGTTAACAGTAAATACTGCCTGGCCAACACATCCTGGACCAGCGAGGGGAAAGTTCTACCCATATCTTACTGAAGGATACCGAGAAATACTGGCACTGAGATTTGTCTGTCTGTTGGTGGAGACTAACTGATGTAGAATTTAGCTTTCCCATATAAGGGAATGAATTAGGTGGAGCTGTTGAAGTACCATGGTTATGACAGGGTTCTATTTTGCACTTAAACTGAGAGTTCAACCTCTTTTTTTTTTGGTATGAAAAAGACAGTATATCTGCCCCAATTTTTCAGTATATAACCTCTGAATAAAACTTATATTTGAAAATCCTCAGAAAATTCATCTGTTAGTTTCTGGGTTTAAAATTAGCCTAAAAAGTTCACATTACTAAATCTCACGATAATTTGGGCCTCTCTAGGTTAAAAACTAAAAACTTTCTACAATGAGAGTTTGGAGGTGTGAGGGTAAATGTAATTTGTAGTTATTTAAACACAAACAATTATTAGCATTGTCATAATTTAATCTTTATGTTCTGCAGTTAGCTGATGGAAATAATGGTTTATGTTATCTACTTCCATTCTCCAATGCAGTATGAGGAAACCTTTTTGAGCAGTTTAGGAAAGGAGTACGACTGCCTTTTGACATATGCCCCCGTTATGTTCCCTGCATCTGAAATTGGGTTATGCCCCCCTTCCAGCACCCTCTTCCCCAAACATAAGTGGGCATAATTTTCCAGAACTGTGCAGAATAGAGAGTAAGGAAAAGTTTGAGGCAAATGTGGTCTGTCTGTGGTGATAAGTTTGGGGAAGGAGGTACTGGAAAAAGTGGCATCCCTTTTGGGGAAGAGTTATACTTGTGGTCATCATCATAGCTTATCACTTCATTGTCTGTGGTGTACAGTGACTGTTCTAGTGGTAAGGTGTATGTCTTAACTTTTCTTTGCTTCTTGGTTTTATGTTGGGTATGTCATGTATAGATCGTCCTTAACTGACACAAAATATTAATTTATATTGGGTATATGCCACACTCAGAGGTACGGTCCAGTATGGCGTACCGGCAAGAGCTGGTACACAGCCGACCATACCGGCAGGGGGCAACTTCCCCAGGCCGGTGATTTAAAGGGCCCAGGGCTCCGGCGGTGATTTAAAGGGCCTGGGGCTTCCGGCCACCGCTACCACAGTGGAGCCCCTGGCCCTTTAAATAGCCACTAGAGCTCCACTGCCGGAGCCCCAGGGTAACAGCAGCAGCCGGGAGCCCTGGGGCTCCGGCGGCGATTTAAAGGGCTTGGGACTCCCCGCTGCGGCAGCAGCAGCCAGAGCCCCAGGCCCTTTAAATTGCCGCCAGAGCCCCGCTGCCGGAGCTCTGGGGTAGCTGCGGAGGCCAGGTGCTCTGGCAGCGATTTAAAGGGCCCTGGGCTCCCGCCTCCACTACCACAGCGGAGCCCCGGGCCCTTTTAATTGCCGCCAGAGCCCCATTGTCAGAGCCCCGGGGTAGTGGTGGTGGCTGGGAGCCCTGGGGCTCCGGCGGCGATTTCAAGGGCCTGGAGCTCTTGGCAGTGGCCGGAGCCCCGGGCCCTTTAAATCACTGGCAGAGCCCCACTGCCGTAGCCCCAGGATAGCAGTGGCACTTGGGAGCCCCGGGGCTCCCAGCTGCTGCTGCGGCTACCACTACCATGGGGCTCGGGCGGGGATTTAAAGGGTCTGGGGATTTAAAGGCCCCACCTCTTCTGGTTGAGGCCCTGCCCCCCTGCTCAGGACTCTGGCATACCGGTAAGTCCTTTAAGTTACTTTCACCCTTGGCCACACTTGAAGAAAATTCAAATCAAAGATCTCCATGATGATGGAACTGTTATTTTCACTTCTTCACTGGGTGGTGTAGGGACAATCTTTGTTATAACCTTTCTGTCACCCAAACTGTCAACTATAATTATGATAGCCTAAAAATATTCTTTGCTAATCAAAGAGTCAGACAATTTCCATTAACTGCTCCTTCTGAAGCACAAGCCCAGAGAGAGAATAGGTTTCACCAAGATTTTCTGTATCCAGTGTTTGCAAGTCTGAATGTTAGAATTACTTTAGATGCCCTCTCATTTTGGTGAGTTATATTCAATAGCTTAAAGATCCTATCTGAGATACCTTAAAGAGGGCTGATTTTCAGAAAGTGTTGGGCACCCCCCTTCTGAAAATCAAGTCCCTTTAAATTTTCTCAAATTGGGCACCCCAATATTGAGGCACCCCAAAACACCAGTTACTTCTGAATATCTTGGCCACTGCTTGCTTCACACAGGGGGTGAGGAGAGGTGCCTTTTGCTACACATTCGCAAAGATGCAGCCGTGTTCTGCCCAGCGCCGCTCTATTGTCACGAGGCACTCTCTGGGCCACTCGTGCTGCTGGCAATGCATGTGGTCTCTCTACCCCAAACCCCCCAGTTCCCAGAAGCCATATTATAGCTGCTCCCTGCACTCATTTTGAGGATGACTGCTCCCTACACTCTCTTCCCCGTTAGCACATGTAATAGAGAGCCCATAATTTGACACCATGTGAAACAGGTCAACTATTGTAATAATGAAGGTTGAGGAACTGGGTGGCTCAGGTTAGGTCTTCAGTTCAAATCTAGCCCAAAGTCTTTAGAATCTGGTTATGATTACAAAGGCTGTTTCAGTACCTATATAAAATGAGTTAGTTTCAGTTCAGTTCCTAGCAAACAGGTATGAATTTAAACCCCATCATCCCAACTGCATCCTTTATGGTATTCTCAACAGAGAAGTAAAAAATCAAATACCATGGACATTGCATGGCAACTAACTCCCTTCTAACCTAACCAGGTCCAGGCTGAAGCACACTGATAGAGCAATGAATGGGAAATGTATCTATTTAGGTACTTATATGGCTTTCATTATCATCATATCTGAGAACCTCATAAGCATTAATTAATTTTATCCTCAGAGGCAAGTTTTATCCCTATTTGTAAATCTGAGGCACAGCACAGATTCAGTCATTTGCCCAAGGTTACACAAGAAGTCCATCGCTGAACCAAGAATTTAACCTAGGTCTCCTAAGTCCAAATCTACCAACCTTTCTCCCTACAGAGCTACTGCTGCCCCGAGTAGTATAGAGAAGAAAGGCACTTTGGTCTTCAGGGCTACTGATTTAGCATTTTTAATGAACACCAAATTCACTTTAACAAAAAACAAAATTAAAAAAGAAGTTATAATTTAAACTAGCATATGCTGATTTCCTCTGAATTGATTCCCTCTGTCAGAGAAATGCACTTAGCAGTGTATGTGAGATGGGGGATGGAATAGTTGAAGTTTTGGAGAAACACATTTCCTACAGGTTTCAATTGCCTATTCTTTGAAGGTACAAAAATGTGAAGGAATTACCTTTTATTACTCTCCTGCTCATCTTCTGGTACAGACTTCTGTCTTTTCCTGGCCTGTTCCTCTGCAAGCCATCTCTTCCTCTTCCACCCTTTTCTGTGCTCTGCATTCAAGTTCACACTCTGTACTACAGCCTCAATTACATCTGTGATAGTATCAGGTCCAAGGTGTAAAGTGTTGCTTTCTTTCCTTCCCTCTAACTCCTGACTGACAAACCGAGCTGCCTGGAAAGCCTGCATTGAAACTACAGCCTGTAGTGGGTATTTCCGGGGCCTGCCTGGTTTGCGCTTCACAAAGTTATTCCCTGTCCGTGACTGCCTTTGCAGCTTTTTGGCTTTTAGAATTTTATTGACATGGTCCAGATTTTTCTTGGTTGCCAAGATCTTGTTGTAACTACACATTTTTCTAGCCTGTCGCTGCATAGCTTCAACCATACTTCTCTTCAGATGATGCGGGGAGTAGCTGCTTGGTAATCTGTCTGAAAGAAGTGAGATGCCATCATTGCAAGAG